TGAACATAAAATAATAAATAAAAATAAAAATTCTTAAATAGTTCATAATTTTACCTCCACCCATTTGTTTGGGACTCCTGTAAAATCTTGATTTATTGTGCAATTTTAACCGGATTTGTTTTAAAGTGTAGATCTTGATAAACTGTTTTTTTGGGGCAAAAAACGCCGTTTTTTTTACAAAATACAAAGCCTACTGTATCAGTTTTTAAGAGTAAATTTTTAAGAATTCGTATTAGCGATTTTTTTTCAAACACTGCCAAATACCTAGTTTACGGTGGACACTTTGATCAAATGCTCTGATTGGCTTCCCAAAAAACATTAAGCTACCCATAGATTGTGTTTAAGTTTGACAAAACACCAAAATCTCATTCGGCGGCAAAAACCTGCTTTTCTCAAAAAATTTCCCATCTAACCCTCCAGATGTGGCACATCAATGTAATCAGGACAACAGTAGCTATCCAAAAATGCAGCAAAAATAATGGGTTGTAATTCAAAAAAACCTAGCAAAATCTCACAAAATCTCATGTTAAAGGAGGGGGGTCATTTAAAATCTCACGTCAACTTTTGTGTTCAAAGAATAGAAGTTTTATAATTCAAATTTGTCAAATAAAAGTAATCATTTTTTTTTTGGGTTTATCATGTTGTCCGCAATGAAAGTTTAATGGCTAGAATTTTACGTGAGGGAAAGGGGGGGTCTACCACATCTCACCAAGTGGGAGGGAGGGGTCCAAATTATCAAAAAAATGCCTCATGTAATTAATGGATGTCCTCTTATATAATTTAACGCTTGAACGCTTGAACATAAAAACTTGTTTTAAATCGAGTAGGTATATTTGAAAGATTAAAAAAGTTTTGCCATGGCACATGGCACATTGTGCACATTGTATTAAGTTTATAATAAAAACTTTTTTTTCTAAATAGAGTAGGTATTAGGGGTGTCAATCCCGGGATCCTGAAATCCCGGGGTCCCGGGATCCCGTAAAAATCCGATCCCGAAAATAACGGGATTAAAAGTTCCAATCCCGGGATCTTAGTAATAAGTTACAAATAATAAAATAGACTTTTTTTTAAGCGTATGACATGAACATGAACACTTCATTGTTTTACTCAGATCAAGTCAAATTTGTTCAATGTGCCTACGAATTCTTGAAAACCATTCTTCCGACTAGTGTGAATTCAGAAAGATATCGTTCGTTTGTTTGTTGTTTTATTTTAAATTGTTTTTAAAATTAATTATATATATTTTTTCGGGACTGATCCCGGGATCCCGGGGTTAGTTACCTTTGGTCCCGAAAGGCCCGGGATTGAAAATGGGCTCGGGATTGACACCACTAGTAGGTATATAGGTACTCAGGGCCGGGCCTAAGGGGGGTTTAGGGGGGGGGGGAGTCATCACAATAAATAAAATGAAATATAATTTTTAAACTTTATCTACATGTTACAAAATTATAATTTTTTATCTATTGTAACCTCCTATAATCGTTACCGTCAAGAAAATTGTATTGGTCAACCTTATTTTTATTAAAGGACATTATATTTCACACAAGCGGCATGTACAAAGTCGGCACCGTCTCGCGGCTTTGTCTTTGGTTTTGGCGGCGTTTGACTCTTTTTACGCACCGCAATTTTCGGCGTCTTATTTTTCTAGATTATTAATTAGTTCAAGCTTATCTACGCTAAGTAAAACTAGGGTCAATAAATAGGAATTAATTTTAATATGGAAAAGAAAGCTAGACCGGGCCGAGTTCTAGTAAAATGCTCATTATGTGGATCTGTGTTTAACAAGGACTAGAAAAAAATGCACGAGGAAAATATTCACGGTGGAAATTTGGTTAAAATTAAAATTGTTACTGTTCCGGATAATCCACTTACATTGGCAGCAAATTAAAAGAGCATGATAAAACTACTGAAAATTTTTACTATTACTACTAAAGTATCGATAAAAAAATAAGTTGGTTTTTTTATCGTCTTCACCCCCCCAAAAAAGTTAGCCTCGGTACGGCCCTGTAGGTACTCAAAAATATTTTTAGAGAAAAAATTTAAACAAAATATTTTTGTTCCCAGAATCAAACCCGAGCCTCCTACGTGGCCTGGCCTAGAACGACCACGCTGGTTGTTGTTTAAATTAATTTAAGTAGTTCAGGCGGGCTTAAACACAATTCCGCGCGCACGGTTATTGTGTCGTTTCTCTTTCTATAAAATAAGTCTTGGTGGGTGCAAAATTCAAATCTTGCCAAAGGCGCTTATGACCAGGCCCGTTCCTGGGGTGTCTGGCGCCTGCGTGCAGCATTCGTTGGTGCGCCCTTTTTATATTTAAATATAATACATTAAATATTTGAATTTTAGGCCGTAAAATTTAAAAAATAAATATTTTGCGACAAACTGGCAAAATGATATTGAAAATGTAAAAAAACGCTTAAATTAAGTATAAAAAATATTTATTAAATTACCAAACAAACAAGTAATATCATAAGGGCATCTATTTTTTCCGAAATAAATCGCTAAGTAATATTTTAACAAGAAGCATGAGTGCAACAAAAATCCAAATCGAACACGAGGATTTATGCACCTGCACGAATGCATTTTGTTAAAAAATATTACTTAGCATTGTGTTTTAACGATTTTTTTCACAGGAAAAGTTAGACGCCCGAATGGTATTTGACAAGACTATTTCATGAGTAGTTAACAATTAAAATATAAATTGCAATTTTTGGACAACAGCTGTCAAGTTTTGCCGCTGGTAAACTCGAAAAAACTGCTGACAGGTGCTGTCATACATTTTTTCCACCTATAGGTGCTACAAAATAATGGTTTCTATAGAAACCATTATTTTGTAGTTCAAAATTGAGCTTTGTGATTGGTGGAAATTAAGACGAGGGAAATAGTCAGTGATAAAAATACTCTAAAGAAAACAAAAAAAATCAATCTAAACAATATAATAACTACAACTGGTTTTTAGTGACATACTCTCTAAAAATGACTAGTTTTCAAAGTAAAAAAGCAGTCAATAATAAATTTAGTCCACAGCAATTTGTATCCCGGGCATTTAACAGCTTATTATTATGTAAAATTGTCCCCTGAATCCGAAAATTCCGTCAAAAATTATAAAAGTAAAGCAGTTTTTAAGATATAGTCAATACCATATTATATGGAAAATTTACTAAATCTCAAAAACGTTCAACTTTTATAACTTTTGACGAAATTTTCGGATTCAGCGGACAATTTTACATAGGATTGACTGCTAAATATCCGGGATACAAATTGCTATTGAAAATAATTATTAGTCGCTGCTTTTTAGCTATTGCAATTAGACTAATTGAATTAGTCATTTTTGACTAATTCTATTTTAGAGAGTTACTACTGTTAAACTTTGCTACCGTCAACTGCAACTATTAAACAAATACTAAAGATAATATGACCATTTCTCTCCTTTTATTTTGATCCTCATATCAAAACAAAATATGCAGCCAATATCAAAGCTGCGAAAGGCGTTTTATAGCGACCGAAAAAAAGAGCGGCTGACGCAAAAAAAGGCAGAAAATTATCCAATGTATGTTTAAGTATCATATGCAAGAAAGTTTATCGTAATAAGTACTGATTGACTCTTTGATTTTGCGCCCCCGAAATGTTGCGCCTGCGTGCGTGCACGCACTGCACGCTCGCCAGGAACGGGCCTGCTTATGACCCTAGCTACGATGCTGATTATAGTGCAAACGCTAAAGTAAAGTTAATCTATGGTACAAACCTAGAATAAAAATAAATAGTTTTTTAATTAAAATGATTGGTTTAATATATGAATTGACTCCCCTATTGTTTACTCTACGATAAAAAACAAAAACAAATTAGTTTTCACCTTAATCCGCAGTTGGTAGGTGGGTATGCTCTCGCAAAGTTGAGCTTTTCTTATGAGCTTCAAACGTTTCATACAAAAAAATGGCTATGGTAATTTTCCGAAAACAGCTTTTTTCCGACAGATTGACTACTTAAACATTCAAAGGAACGTATGAATGCATACATTTTCAATAGCATGCTAAGATTTTAACATTAACAAAGGACGTGTTTATTCTTCGAATCGACCATGAGTATAAAAAGAAAAGGTACCCAACCAGACAGCATGGCGCCCGAGAATAATAAATTTGTCGTCTACCTCTCAGGTGTACTACAGGGTGATTAGTCCAAAATCTCTGTTTTGCATGGAATCAATGTAATCTTATGACAAAGGTGTTAAAAAGATAATTTTGCACACCTTTTTTATAAAATATTAATAAAAGTAGCCGCTATTAGCAAAGTTAAAATATTTTAAAAAAGTTATTAAATTAGTTACTTACTAAAAGTTTTTTAAGTAGGGTGCAAAAATATAAATTGTTTAAATAATGTGATAAAAAAATCAAAATTTAACGCATAGGTCACGGTTTTAGACAGTATTTTTTCTTGGATCTTCTAGGTGCTGTCCAAATAGGGGACATTATTTTATGAGTTTAATTATTGCAAAAATAAAAATAAATTAAAATAAAAACAACTATTGCCATCTGTTTGATAATGAATGAAAAGAAAAGGGAGAGACGCGTTGTCTGGCCTCGCTGGCTTGGCGACAGCTTGTCTGGCGTGACCATACGCTGCGTTGCCGCCGCGCCGCATTCCATTCTCAGAACATACAGATTTTATCAAAATCTGGACTTAATTTCAGTGTAAATCAGCATTAGATGACATATTTTTTTAGCTAGAAGGTTAATTTTTGACAGAATCGTTGTGTTTAGCGCAGCTAAAGCGTGTTTATAAAAGTAGGCAAACAATGAAGAAACGTGGCAACGCCGTGAACAAACTTGTTTCATAAACGGATGTTGGCGCCTCCCATTCGACCTGTGTAGTTCGGACGTACGCAAGCGACCCGAGCGGTTTTTGTCAGAGGGTCCGACAAGGATAGAAGGGAAAACGTTTGTCTAAACTTTGGTCGTAAAACACACTTCAAGTCCCTTTTGATTGCTGTACGTGAGAATACAGTTTAGTCAGCTAGAGTGGGGATTTTCTGTGAATCGTGACGAAAATGGTTGCTACATAGGTCGCAGATAAACTTTGCTGTGCTATTTTAGTTGTTTTTTGAGTAATTTTTATTGTTTTTTTCTTTAAAAGTGGTGTAAAGTGTGTACAATGGCCCACGGATTGAACTCAGTGTTAAAACGCGGTGTTTCTACGGTCCAGGGCTGCAAAACAGAGGGGAAAACAGGCATCGGATCGAGACGGATATTTCCACCACATTTTAAACTACAGGTGCTTGATTCGTATAGAAACGATGCGGATTGCAAAGGTAATCAAAGGGCTACAGCAAGAAAATACGGGATTCATAGACGACAGATTCAGAAGTGGCTACAAGTGGAAAATAATTTGAGAAACAGCGTGAGCAAAACAGGGAGCTGTGGTGCAAAGGGTTCAATAACAACAACAACAACACCAAACGGAAATATGGTGGATTGTAACAACGGAGGAGAAATTCCCGAAGGCAACAGAAAATTTGGAATAGAAATGGCCTTGAGCAATGGTGGCCAATGCAGTAGACAGCGGGACGACATGAGCTGCGGTGCCGATATGTATACGCTGCAAGCGGCGGTCAGCGGCGTACTTGACGCGCGGGTTCCGTCAGTAAGTCCCGTGTATTCAAAAATTGACCCGTCGTCCGGTCATCCCTGGCCCCCAGAGTGCTCCAGCGGCAGAGGTGAAGGAGGATGCTGCAGGGTGCCCCCTGCGCCTCTCGACTTCAGCACGCATTCCCGCCGTGGCAGCGGTTACGGTAGCCCGATCGTCGCCAGTCCGCCTTGCTGCGTGTCCCCCGTGCCCCCCGACTCCGCTACACCCATGGACTTGTCGTTCAAGAGGCCCACTTCGTCGAGCGCACCTGTGCCGCTGATGCCTTTCTCTCCCCTCGCCTCTCCGCCTTTGCCCATGCCGCAGCAGCAGCAGCACCGAGTTCTGTCGCCGCCCAGTCTCGCACAACCTCACCCAGATGTGTGGGACTTATCCGCCAAGAGCCATGGACTCAAAAGGAAGTGCGACGAAGAACGCAGCACGCTCACGTCCCAGAAACCTGTTAAGTTGTTCAAGCCCTATCTGGACGACATAAAACCATCCAAACCAGAACTAAACCCCATTAAATTGGAATCCCTCTCGCCCCCTTGCTGCACCCTCGCAATCGCCCACCCTCCTTCCAACTCCGACAATTATTATTACACAAACAACAATAATAACATTTGCGAAATCAAGTCGGAGTACGCCAGTACTTACACTCTCCACGAACTTCAACCGAAAACCGCCCTCAACTTCTATTACCCTTATACGTCGCAATTGTACCACCCAGATTACGAGAGCAACTCGTTTAATGCGGTCTACGAGGACTCTTCCCTGCACGGCGTGCCTTTGAAACAAAGGCAAAGCTACAGCCTGGATTTCAAGCTCCAAGCAATCGACTGCTATTACGAGGATGACCAGTGCAAAGGCAATCAGAGAGCGGTGGCTTCGAAATACAACATTCACCGGCGTCAAATACAAAAATGGTTGAAACAGGCTGAAGAGCTCCGCCAGAGAAACGAATCCATAAAGCAAATGCACGCGGTCAGGTAAGAAATTGATGCTCCGGAGGATGAAACCTTTGCCGTAAATTATTGACTGACTGTTTTTCTTCAAATAATAATTTGTGGGAAACAATCAGTAGACTGAAGCGATTGCTTAAGCCTTAGAGTCTATTAGTTTAGTAACAACACATATCCAAAAAGCCTCTTTTGTACTTATCATGAAAATTATGCCTTATGAATCATTTCGTTGAACGAAATTTTTTGAAGACCCATCCATTTGTTGCCATATTGTTAAATATTTGATAAATTAATTACGTCTTCAACGAATATCGTTGTGGTATGTATGTTTTCTCGTACGGGTGCTAAACTATTTACGTAGGAGATGATGACTTGCTCAGAAAATGTTTACTTGTGTGCCTTTTGTAGTGAGTAGTAGAGTAAAATAAAAAAAGAGTATGAAAGCCGTGCCAAAACTGACGAGAAGGCAGCTATATCTATTGTATACCTGACATTGCAATACTTGTGAATAACAAATAAAAAAAGTTGACAAACGTCTTCCTTATCGCCATATTTTCTATTAAGCACTCGATTTACTGCCAATATATAACTATATTGATAATGATATATTTATTAAAATTTGTACATACCTTAGTTTTATTTATACATATCTAAATTTAGCGTAGAAGCAATTAACATGTGATTTAGAATTTAACTTCAAATTGAAGATTGTATAAAGGATTTATTATTCTTATAGTTATTAACAATAAAAATTAACGTGACCTTAATATTGATAGGTTGTGAATATTTTGTCACTGGATTAAATTGTTTATAAAAACCAACTTTATATTGTAATTATTATAGTTGTATAAACAGCTGAGCTGAGTAAACTTTAATATTGTAAATTTTTATAGATATTGTATTATTTTTTATGAAATATTTTATAGATATTAATAAAATATGTATCTTTTCAAAAGTTGCTTTTATTTTTTTTCGCTCCAACGAAAGAAAAACACTTAATGGTCAGAGATTTCCGTTCCTTTTTTAAAAGAATGTGTTAATAGAGCAAAAATATCAAGTATCCCTGCCAACTCTGCAGCAGGTAGGTAGAATGCATACATAGAAAAAGAATTCATAGACCACTGGATGAATGGCCATTATGATCACATTTTACACTTGAACAAGGGTAGGACATATTAAATTGTTAAAGACACCTTTTATTATCAAATTTCATGGAACATTAAAGTAAAAATCTCATTTAAAACACATGCATTTATATTTTGTTTTTTTATAAATTAATTTTAAAATGTCAATAAACCAAATTTAAAAATTTTTTTATTGAAAAATTTTAAAACCAATTTATTAAAAATGGTTGTTAGGTAATATTCATATTAAGAGGGTCAAAAACCTTTAAAACATTAATTTTGCCGATCTTTAAGGTGTACACGTGTCTACTATTTCTTTATAATTACTGTTAGTCCGGTCTATCTAGACATTCGAAGGTACATAAATTTACAACAAGCTGAAAATCAGTAAAATTGTTCAGAATATAATTATAAATAAAATTTTAAAGTTCCCCATAATTCCCCTGTATGGAAAAAATTTTATTCAAGGTCAAAGGTCAAAAAAATGATTTTTCGCGATTTTCGGCAAAACTGTAAATTTTATCATAATATACCCCAGACAAATATTGTAGATCATAAAATTATCTATAAAAAATGTATCAATACTTTTTTTTCTACGAGCCACCGTTTCTGAGATATAACGATTCGAAAAGTTGTAAAAGTTATAATCGTCATAATATGCACAGTGTGCACGCCACCTATGAGGTAGTATACTCAGTAGCCTATTCCACGGGTCAGTTGTGATCCTGTTTAATTTGAAACTATTGCAAAATAACGGAAATTAGCAATGATTGGAAAAGATAAAAGCGATGTAAATTAAAAAAAGTACTGAAGTTAATTAGTCTGATTCGTAACATTTAAATTCTTCTTCTTATTCTTCTACTTGTTCTTGTTCTTGTTCTTCTTCATCCTGGGTACAAGTAAATTGCGTCAGTAGCGATGTCTCGCATGTCACCTCGTTGGAATTAAATGAATCCTCCACTGTTGGTGATTCAACATTAGAGCACGACCGGCCTTGACAATTCGTACATACCAGAGAATAAAACAGTCCGATTTTTTTGCAACCACATTCAGCACTGCATCCCTTTTTGCAGTTGCAAAAAATTGTGTTCAGCATTTTTTCCGGCGCAGGTGGGAGTAAAGTTTGAACTGGTTCTAATGGGTTGTTGACCAACTTCCAACCCCAGTCTGTAGGGTCTAGCTGATAACCAAGCCACACTTGAACTTGGTAATATACCCGAAAAATATTTTGATGAGCAGCAACTGAGGTTGGAGGAAGACAAGCTAATTGAACTTGTCTTTTATTTTAGTATTTTTAACGAAACATGCATATCGAAGCAGGTAGTTTTTTTAGGAGCTCCGTATATATAGAAAGAAGAAATCGAATGCCGTTGGTGATAACTTCTTGTCCCGAAGCACCTTTTCCTCAAGTTAAGCGAAGACAACGGAACGTGCCAAATTTGACGGAAAAATCTAAAAAAAAGTGGACTTGGGCCTTTTCAACACCGGAAAAATTTGGTCCGCGGATAGGTCTCGTGGGCAGAAAAAAGGATGCAAATTTCGAGTGTCCGCCTTCAACGGCCTCCGAGCTAGGGCGCTTAGAAAAAAAAGGATATACAGACTAGCAGACAACGGAAAAATCAAATATTGCAAACGGGCCGTATCCGCCGGAAACTTTTCGATCTTTTTTTATTTTTTTCAAAAAAATTTTAAACGTTTTTTAGGGCGAGAGAAATTTTCGAAATTGGCCGAACGAAATACACGAATCGACGGGTAAAAGACCAAAGTTTGACATACTAAAAGATGAGCTTCATCGAATGAAAACTAATCGGCCAGAAGCCCGTTTAATTTTTGTTGTGTATTTAAAAAAGTTAACCAATTAAAATCCCCGAAATCAAATCGATAAGGTGGCAAATGACAGGTGGCATTTGACAGGGTCAAATGACAGGTGACAGATGACAGGTGACAGATGAAAGATGACAGATGTCAAGTTGACAGATGACAGATCATCTGTCATCTGTCACAGATGTTGTCTCGATGGCGTATAAATTAATTAATTTATAACCAGTCCCTTAAGGGACGGTTTTATTTCACTTGATATTCTTATAGTTATAACTTATGTAGGTATATTTTATATTTTAAGTGTAAGTGAAAATGACCGATAGAAAAATATATTAACATATATTAAAACTTTAGAGATGTATATACGTGACGTACTCATGTATATTATGACGATTACAACTTTTACAACTTTTCGAATCGTTATATCTCAGAAACGGTGGCTCTTAGGAAAAAAAGTATTGATATATTTTTTATAGACAATTTTATGATCTACAATTTTTGTCAAAAATATTTTTGTGATAAAACTTCCCGTTTTGCTGAAAATCGCGAAAAACTAATTTTTTTGACCTTTGACCTTGAATAAAATTTTTTCCATACAGGGGAATGATGGGGAACTTTAAAATTTTATTTATAATTATATTCTGAACAATTTTACTGATTTTCAGCCTGTTGTAAATTTATGTACCTTCACTGTTATTTTTTAGTCTAATTTGACCGGACTATGTTATTTTTATTTAAGATAATAATTTATTTGGTAGTAATGTGATAACCATTAAAAGTCTCAAGTTTTTTTAAATAATAATAAAGGGTACATCATCATCACTTCACCCATTATTTTTTTATTTTTAGTATAGGTAGTAAGTATGCTTTATATTAAACTGGGCCAAAAAAAATCGACTATTTTTTTTGTAAAGTATATCGAAAATATTGTTTGGGGTGACAAAAAAAATTATGGTGAAAGTTTGAGTCCATAATATTAATATTAAGAGGTCTATCATCGCAATTTTAGATTTTTTTTCCTGAGCGAGTTTTTATCTCAGAACTCCCAAACCATTGAGTTTAACAAATTTGACTTGGGAATATTTTTTAAAGAAAATTAAATGCTCTACAAAAAAGGTTTGATTAGAATTTCACGTCAGATGAACCGTTTTCTTACAATCATGCCTTAAAAATTGTTATAGTTTTACAATTTGATCTTTTAACTTTGGAATTTTGTAATTCATGTAAAAATCAGTACCCGGAAAAAAACGGATAAATATTCTTATGGGAAATCAAATGCTCTACAAAAAAAGTCTTTTATCATTTTTGGCTAAATTCACTCCATCAAAAGTTATTCAAGGTTAAATTTGAAGTCAAAACGAACTTTTAACCTTGAATAACTTTTGATTAAGTGAATTTAGCCAAAAATTTTGAAGGCTTTTTTGTAAAGCATTTGATTTCCCATAAGAATATTTATCGGTTTTTTATGGGTACTGATTTTTACATGAATTACAAAATTCCAAAGTTAAAAGATCAAAATGTAAAACTATACCAATTTTTAAGGCATGATTTTAAGGAAATGGTTCATCTGACGGAAAATGTCACTTTAACCTTTTTTGTAGAGCATTTAATTTTCTTAAAAAAATATTTCCGAGTCAATTTTGTTAAACTCGATGGTTTGGGAGTTCTGAGACAAAAAATTGCTGAGGAAAAAAAAATTAAAATTGCGATTAGACCCCTTAATATTAATATTTTGGACTCAAACTTTCACAATAATTCTTTTTGTTACCCCAAACCATATTTTCGATATACTTTTCAAAAAAAAAAAATAGTTGATTTTTTTGGCCCAGTCTACTTTATATACATACATATAGATTTTAAGTAGTGATGAAACGATTTTGCACAGAACACATAATATGGTCTATGGCTATATAATTACGATAACGGTTACGATTCTACATTTAATAATCGTAAGATTATGATTATTAAACGAAGTAAATATACATGGTGATTCATTACTATTGCAAAAAATTTCAGAATAAGATTCCATGGATGAAAATAAGAAAAACCTGAACCCAATAATTATTTTCCCAAGACGTTTCGTTTTAGAGATACTGAGTGCAATTTTTTTTAATTGTAAATTGTTCTAATATATAAAAAACTCCGATTTTTTAATAACTTTGTGTGTTCGTTAATAAAATAATGGTAATATTTTATAAAATTAATTAATTAATTAATTTATTCCAGTGGAGCCCCGGGGGCATATTAGCTGTTATTTTTCAGAAGAAATGTGAAGCCACTTATTTTTATTTCTTTTGATGTTTTTTTACGGATAAAAAAAACTGTTTGTTTCTTTACTAATTTTTGCAGCTTTGGAAGCAAGTCAAAAATAAAGACATGCTTGAAATATGGGAGTATTTAAAAATGTAAATAAATAAAAATGAATTATTTTTATGTCGAATTTGGATACTGGTTTTGTATTTGTTTTTAAATACTAGGAAAATACAAATAATTTTAATTTGTACAAAACGTTTTATTTGAAAAATTGCAACAGTACATATCTCAGAATTGAAGTTTCCGGAAACTAGTTATGGAAATGGTTTTTTAATGTTTTTATGAAAGAAATGTTATCGCAATTTTTATGAATTAACATAATAACATAATATAACATATTAAGTTAATATTATTAACATAATATTATTATTGCTATTATACAGGTACAGTCAGAGACTCCCTTGTCTCTGGGTACAGTGCACCATGGTGGACACGGAACACAGTGGTCTGAGAGGTAAATTTACGCGGAAAAAATAATTCGTTAAATATTTTTTTCAACACGTGACTTTTTTATATTTTGAAGATGCTAAATTTACTTCTGATATAATTTTTTTTCAAAAATATTTGATATTGAGGGGGCTAAGTCTAGCCAAATGATATAAAATAA